CCACTATAAGTGTTTGGTGTTTTATGTTTGGTTAAATTTTAGTAATGTTTCTTTTACGAATGTGGGTGCCTTTGTATTTGGGGCATAGATATTCATAATGGAGACTTCATCTTGATGGATTTTTCCTGTGATGAATATGAAATGGCCTTCTTCATCTCTTTTGATTGCTTTAGTTTAAAGTCTAATTTATTAGATATTAGGATTGCTACACCAGCTTGCTTCTTGGGTCTGTTTTATTGGAAAATCTTTTCCCAACCCTTTACTTTGAGGTAACCTTTGAAGTTGAGGTGAACTTCTTGTATGCAGCAGAAGGATGGATTCTGTCTTCATATACATTCTGTTAGCCTGTATCTTTTAATAGGAGATTTAAAACCGTTGATATTGAGGGATATTAATGACCATTGGTTGTTAATTCTTGTTTGTTTTGGATTTGGTAGTGGTGGTGGTATTGTGCATGGATTCCACCCCCTTTTTTGGTGTTTGGTAAAGTGGGATTGTCTATTGCCTATGTTTTTGTGAGTGAAGTTTCCTTCCTTGGGTTGAAGTTTTCCTTCCAGTACTTTCTGTATGGCTGGATTTGTGCATATTTATTGTTTAAATCTGGTTTTTGTCCTGGAATACCTTGTTTTCTATGTTAATAGTGATTGAAAGCTTTTCTGGGTATAGTAGTCTGGCTGGCATCCAGGGTCTCTTAGGGTTTGTAGAACATCTATTCAGGACCTCCTGGCGTTCAGAATTTCCATTGAGAAGTTGGGTGTAATTCTGATAGGTCTGCCTTTATGTGTTACTTGGACTTTTTCCTTTAGTGCTCTTAATATTTTGTCTTTATTCTGTAAGTTTGATGTTTTGATTATTATGTGGCAAGAGGACTTTTTTGTGGTCCTGTCTATTTGGTGTTCTGTAAGCTTCTTGTACTTTCGTAGGCATGTCCTTCTTTAGGTTGGGAAAGTTTTCTTTTATAATTTTGTTGAATATGTTTTCTGTACCCTTGAGCTGTATTTCTTCACCTTCTTCTATACCTATTATTCTTAGGTTTAGCCTTTTCATGATGTTTGATATTTCCTAGATATTTTGTGTTAGGGATTTGTTCAACTTAAGATTTTCTTTGTTCTATGACTGTATTTATTCTAGTGATTCTTCAACACCTGAGATTCTGTCTTCCATCTCTTTTATTCTGTTGGTTATACTTATATCTGTAGTTACTGATTGTTTACCCAGCCTTTCTATTTTCAGCTTTCCCACATTCTGTGTTTTCTTTATTGTTTCTACTTCAGCTTTCAAGCCTTTAATTGTTTGAATTATTTCCTTCACTTGTTTTCTTTTTTTTTCTTGGCTTTCCTTGCTTACTTTAAGAGATTTGTTTATTTCTTGAATTTTTGTTTTTCTTTTCCTCTATTTCCTTTATTTTTTGTTTTTTCTCCCATTTCTTTAAGGGTTTTTCTCATTTCCTCTTGGAGGGTCTTTATCATCTAGATAACTTTGTTTGTAAGGTTCTTCTCTTCTGCTTCATCTGCTTTGGGATGTTCAGGTCTTGCTCAAGTAGAGTCCCTAGATTCTGGTGGTGTCATATTGATCTTTCTGTTGTTGAATTTGTTCTTATACGTTGTCTTCCCATCCTTTCTTCTGATGTATGCAGCTGGTGTCTCTCCCTCTCCTCTTGTCTCCAGGTTGTGTTGGTAGGCCAATACTTCAATGTCAGCAACTCTGGATTTCTGGCCTCTCCTGGGGTTCTCCTTACCCAGGGGGCAGGAGACTTACCCAGCAGGACTCAAGCAGAGGGGGGCAAAACTTCAATGTGTGCTATTTCAGGATGGTCCAGGCTGCCAGGGCAGGTTTACTAGAATCCAAGCAGTCCCAGGAAGCTCCAGGAAGGGGATGGGGGAGTTGGGCATAGGCAGAACCCACATTCACCTCAAGGTGAGGGCATAGGGGGTCAAAATGACTTTTTGTCTGATGGATATAATCATGCAGTTTTCAACTATAGCGATCTTGTATGGTGTATCTTCGTTGTTCTTTACCTGTTAAGTCAGTTTGCCATATCTAGAAAAATTCCAGTTTACCATGGCCAATATTCTGTTATATATATTGTTGGATTTCATATAATATTTGTTTCTGAGAGATAGGATATATTTGTTTGTAGTTTTTTTTCTGTTCTGTAATGTCTCAATCAGGATTTGTAAGTAAGGTAATGGTGGCCTCGGAATCAATTAGGAAGTAAGATTTTTTTTTTATTTTTAGAAAGAAATCATTTTAAATCTGGGATCATATCTTCTTACATACTTCATGCAATTCACTGCTATAAACTAGGCCAAGTGTTTCCATTTTTGGAATCTCACTCATCATTGATCAATATAAAACATCAATACGTGAATTCAGAGAACAATTTCACATTTTTTTCAGTTTTGTTTGTTATGGGGATTAAGCCTGGACCTTCATACATAGTAAGCACATGCTCCAATGCTTAACTCATTGCAGACTATATTTAATCTTTCTTGTATGATTTTTGTCATGTTCTTCTATACTAACAATAGAGTGGTGTTATTTACCTCTTCGTAAAATTTGTCTTACCTTTGACTTCCAACACCTCATTCTTCATTACTACCTGAGGTTTTACAGGGCTGCATACAGAACATATTTGTCTACTAATATTTGAAGCATAACAACTCAATTCATCTCCCAGAAGTTACAGATATTCTCATAGTTCTTTTCTTTGTCGGGGTCCTCACCAAAACTGCCCATAGCACTCTATTTGTTGTAATGTGGGTTTGATCCCCCACAGTCTTCCAATTTCTTTTCAACACTTACTTACCATGCTGTTTCCACATCATTGGGTGTTCCTCATAACACTTCACCTCCCTGCACCAATTTCTATCTACTTCATTTTGATCTAAAACAGGCTCCCTGAGACTCAAACTTTTCAATGACCTTAATCTTAGGCTTGCAGTTCTGGATACTGGGAAATCTATGATTAATACACAGGAACCTAGAGTGAGCCTTACTGCATCTTCACCACATACAGACAGAAGGTTAAAGAGGCAAAAGGCAGTTGAACTCATCTATTGAGATAAGGATTTATTGGTGAGCAAAGAGAAGTAACAGACAAAATGTATCTTAAAGCATACAATCTCTAGGCTTGGGATCAGTAATCACAAAACTGAGTCTCATAAGGAACCTGAACCAAAAACATGTCTAACATTCTTATTTACATTTTGATATGACAAATAAATTAAATGGTTTATTTAAGTCACCTAAATCAAAAATAACGTACAATCAAATACATAACCTCACTCAGTATTGTCTGGAATTGATAAAAAGCACACAATTTAAATACCTGTATAATTTAACTCCTCCTCCTTCAGAAGCTCCCAATCTCTTTCTACTATGTAACTTTGAGAACAAATCCTCCTTTGCTTGGTACTCAGTGTTTGTTCCATATGTTTGAATTCTCTTCTCATGAAGATGAGACTTGGGAAACACTGGTAGAAGACTCTATCTGGTCTTTCTCTCCTTAATTTTTCTGAAGTCTTCACCACTGGCAACACATTTAGGGGCAATATATGGATAAAGCAACTTTACCAACTATGACATACACATCCTAATTATGCTGACTTATAATTGATTTTAAAATGAATCTTGAAGAGTAGAAAAGGACTAAACATCAGATGTGATGCCTGTTATAACCATTATAATGAGTGCATATGAAGGCAGAATATAAGGAAGAAATCATAAGGCTAAAAAGAAAACAAGGTTAAAAAGAGATTAGAGAAGTCATTTGAAAGCCATGGTTGTGCAGAAGCTTTGTTTGTGGGGCTGTAGTTGGAGCCAGCCAAGCTGTCCAAAGTTCTTACCTGAGAAGGGGAATGTGGACCAAGAAGGACAAGCTAAGGGTGGTAAGACACGGTAATATTGTCAGGAGAGCCATTCAGTCCATCTGAAAGGTGAATGCCCTTAGTTTATTCTTTCACATACTTAGGTACCCAAGGAAAGATGGGGACAATGGCAGAAGACTTCTATTATCATTCGTAAGGGGTAAACAGACTTACTTCCCTTAATCCTCCAGCTATTTAGTAGCCACACATGCCATCTAACCTTCAGGGTTGTGAGTAAACATACCTGATCTCAAGTCTGCTATTATTTAGATAAAGACATGCTCTACCTAGGCCAAAACATCCTGCAGTTGCCAAGCTATAGACTATAGGTATAAGGACAGTTTTGAACTCTCTGACCTTTAGTGAAGATGGAGTAGAGCCATTTTTATGGCCCCCAACACATGGGGTACTAAATTTATATTAAGTAGAAGACAGATAAATATAATAATCATTAGTCAATATGAGGGTGCCTCTGAATAGGACAGGAGAAAAAAGTACAACCTCATTTGTGTTGTGAGTAAATGGCCTGAGGGGAGTGTGTGTGTGTGTGTGTGTGTGTGTGTGTGTGTGTGTGTGTGTGTGTG